GGGGGGGAGGGAGGGAGAAGGGGGGAAAGGAGGCGCAGCGGGAATATGCGGTGCAATCAGAGGGGCAGACAAGCAAGCATGGGGGAGTGGGGCGGAGGAGGGGGGGAACGGTGCGAGTTAATGCAGGCCCAGCCGCCCAGGGCAGCTTTTTGCCCTTCCATCCGCCGAAAAGCAGTGGCTAATCCGTGCGGGCGATCCGTCGTCTCCCTCGGTCGATCATATTCCTCCTGAACAAGACGTTCAACTGTCCCCCCTCGCCAACACGAGTGCCTTCCGGCACAGTGCGCGCGCTTCCGAGGCGTGTCTTGTCTCTTTTTCCTTCCGCCAAGTCGGCCTGAGCCACGGACGCCCATCGAACCATGGGCAGTAAGGGAGGCAACAGCCAACGGAGGTGCACCTCCCAGAAGGGAAAGTGGGGCATGTGATATTGCAAAGGCTTGTGATATAGACACGGGCACTGTGGGCTATATTTGTGCGGGGGCCGATCGGGCGCCATGCGTCAAGTCGAACACGGGGGGGGGGGTGGGGGGGGATTGCGGTCAATATTGCCTGCGCCTTCGTGGGACTCTTTCATGTCACCCTTTCCGCGGCTTGGGTAATGCTGCCAGGAGGAGGGACACTTGAGCAAGAGCCTCACTTGCACAAGGACATATCGGGTGGCCCCCTTTCATCCGTGCCGCAATGCGCCGCGGGTTGTCCCTGCTCCCCCAAGCACCCCGCATATGGCCTGCCACTTGTTCTTTGTCCCCCCCCCCCCCCCCCCCCCTGGCGAGATTGACACGCTGCGGGGATGTGGATTTGAAAAATGTCTATTGGTGTACTTCTTTGTGCCCCACAGCTTTCCCGTGAAAAAGGCGGGGGCCCGCGTGCGGTGTGAGTGTGTCTCTCTCGGTTGTGGGCTTTGTCTTCCGATGCCTCTTGTCGAGGATCGCATGGGGGAGAGAGAGAGGCCCCGGCGCCGAGGTCGCGGTCGAGGGGAAGGGCCGAGAAAGCCCAGCGAGGGCGGCCGTCCCAGGGAGTCCTGGGTTTGCACAGAGGAAGTGAGGGAAATATCTCATGCGTCCTCTCTCACACGCATGGGTGTGTATGATGGAGCGCTGCCCTTCTCTCCTCCTCGCCCTGCTCTTCCGGTCTCAGTCCAGCCCCCCGAGGCACAGTGCGTCACTGTGAGGGGATGGCTGGCCGGCGCTCAAAGGCCGGGTCAGGCGGCAGCTCGGTGGAGAAGACACCGTCCCAAAGTTTGCTGGTGATGCCGAAGGCCTTTTGGTAGTCCTCATAATGATGGCGAAGGTGGTGGCGCTTGAGCACGGCCATTGGGCGGTTCCAAAGGCGATCGGCCAGACGCTGGGCCACCGAGGCACCGGACTTGGCGCGGCTCCGCAGAGCCACCTGGGCCGTGCTCGGCACCCCATGGTGGAGATAGTAATGTGTCAAGTCATAAAGCAAGAAGCCGGTCAGGCCTCCGGCGAAGGCCAGGAAAAGGATGCGGTCCGGGAAAAACATGCGGTAGCCGAAGAAAATGGGCGTCATCAGGATCAGGGCCATGGCGGGAGGCATCACCAAACGAAGGCTACCACGGGACGAAGGATGTTGGACACAGGGGGGGGGCGAGGGAAGGGAGGAGGAAGGAGATGGTGGGCGGGCGAGGGAAGGGGCGCGGTTAGATTGGCGGACATCGGGAGGCCCTCCCCCCTTGCTGCAAGGGCGGATGCCCCTGCCATGGCGGACGCCAGGGCCCCCCCCCCTCCCACTGGGGAAGGGCGGGGGCCGACAACACACCGGGGAGCACACGTACGGATCCATGGGAAGGAAGTGGTGGACGCCGTGCAAAACAAAATGCAGCAGAAGGGCCACCCGATGGTCGGGAACCAGGTCATCCAGATGGAAGAGGAAGCGATGGATGCTGTACTCCAGCAGGGACCAATTGAGGACACCGAAGAGGAACCACCCCATCATGGTGCCCCAGGGGAGACCCCCGAGGCCGGGGCCTGTGGAGGGCTGCTGCATGCGTGCCCCGAGCACGAAGAATGTCACGATGACCGGCACCCAAACGAGGACCGCCCACCAGGGCGTCCGGGAGAGGACCTCCAGGATGGGGTTGGCGAAGAATCGGGCCGACTGCCCGGTGGGCAGCACGGCAGGGGTGTGCGTCAGGCGCAGGTACGCCTCGCGGTTCAAGCGCAAGTTCCAGATCTGCTGGACGATGGGCTGCGTGAGGTCAATCGAGTGGACGGCCTTCTCCGGGGGGGTCTGGAAGAGGGCCCGGGACCGGAGATCGGCGGCTGGCTGGGCGGCGGTGGCCGATGTGGTGGCTTCCTTATGCGGCTGGCGAGCCGTGCGAGGGCCAGCAGCCACGGTCGCGGGCCCCGGCGAGGGCAATGCCGCGGAGGATGGCGACGCGCTTGACAGGCTGACAGTCATGGCCGAGGAGCTGCACTCGAGAGTGCGGCCATCTTCCCACGGGCCGGGCCCCGGGGTGCTGGCATCGACCACCTCATCCAGGATGCCGATGGCCAGGTTGCTGATCAGCGCGATGGCCATGTCGCTGTGGCGATGGGGCCGGGACTCGGGGGCGCGTTCGGCCGAGCGCTGGAGCTCGCGCTCGGTCAGCGCCACCCCAGGACGGCCGTAGTGCCCGCGGATGATGTGCGACACATCCTTGCCCCTCCATTCCCACATGGCCTCGGCTCCCCCGGGGTGGACCTCGGCAAAGTGCGTCGCATCGACCACCACCCCGTCGATGATGAGAAGGAGGCGGGCATGGCCATCCGCCACAGCGCCGCCCTTGGCCGGGGCGTGCCCCGCCAGACGGGCCACCTCCTGCCGGGTGAAAACATTGCGCGCCACCTGCGCCGGGATCGGGTGCACCGAGTGGGGACCATAATTCAAGTAGCCCCCGGTGTGGGCATTCACCAGGCAGGCGGTCGTGTCGCTGGGCGTCGGGGGAACCCTGGTGTCGGGTGGCATGGTGTCAGGCCCCGGTGGGTCGATGGGGCTGGTTGTCGGACCGGCGAGATGCTGCTTCAGGGTGTCCGGGCGCGGGGCCGGGGCATCCCGGTAACTTAAGAGCGTCGGGCTTTGCGGGGGCATGTTCCTGACCCGGTGTCTCGTGCCTGGCACAGGTCAGTTGGGTTGCACGCGAGCGTGCATGCAGGCATGGTCCGGGCTGTCAGTGTGTCTATCCACGGAGTCAGATGCGGGTGGTGAGGAGGAAAGCAGGCAGGGCGAGGGAGGCAGAGATAGGGAGAGAGAGAGAGAGAGAGACGGAGGGGGAGTGTGTAATAGGATGGGGCCAGGGCCCTCGGGGAGGGGATGGATTGGGCGGAGGCGGAGGGCGGGATGTGAGCTGGGAGGGATGTGTACTTTGACAGTAGCGGTGGCGATCACAGCAAGGAGAAGGGGAAGCACACGAAGGGAGAGGCGGAGGAGGGGGGCGGGGCAAAGGCGAGAGTTGTCAAAGGAGGATGGACAGCTTTGATGCCCTCCACCGCCGGGGGGGGGAGGGTTATGGCGGAGCATCGTTTTCTATGGAACTCCTTTGGCCAGCGACCAATCTAGGCCATCCGGATCGGCACATTTCGGTGCATATGGAGGCGTGAAGTGACAAAGGGAAGGAGGAGGCGGGGCAGCGAGGGGGAGTCCGAGGGAGCGGGACAATGCGAGAATGCGAGAGCAAGCGGCCGAGAGGAGGAGGCACAATGGCCGAGCCAGCAACATCCGGAGAATACACGCGCGGCGGACCTGTCGCGCTCGCCCGAACGAGGGCCGACGTGCGTTCTCATCCGGGGGCCGCCTCCAGCTACAAAAGCCATGTAGGTCCCCTGTCGGCCGACACACCTGGGCCCTGCGGCGCGAGGGGGTAGGGGACCGAGGTAGCTTCTTGCAGCTGACCCCCTGGCTGACTTGGGTGGAGGGACGCGATGCTCATTACGTAACTTGCTGCCACTCTCGGGGGGGGGGGGCATGCCTGCGAGCAAGGGTGATACACGCCCAGTGTCGTCGATCCATGCCTTCCTGTTCCCGCCTCGCCTCCTCCTCCTCCTCCGCCGCCTGCGCCTCCGCCTCCGCCTGCTTGTCATCTGCCTCTGTCTCGTCCTCCCCTTGGCTCATGTCCGGCGGTGGGGCCGGGGTGAGGCCGCGGGGTCCGGCACATTCCCGGTCCGAGGCCGCACATGGCAGACCGCACGCTAGCGCGCCTCCGGGAGCATGTCCAGCCCCGCCGAGAGGGCGCAACCCATGTGGGTGCCTTGTCGCATGTGGCGCCGAGAGGTCCAGGCATCCTGTGCATCCCCGGCCGAAGGAGACACATGCCCGGCCTTCTGGCAATGCGCCAGTGCCTTCCAGCAACAGCCCACGGGCCAGACTCACCCCTGCGCTCGACCCCCGGACCTCGCTGCCGTGGTGCGCATTTGGGGTGCGCATTTGGGGTGCCCCCTCCGCCCCCCCCTCCCTCGGCCGGGCTGAAGCGGCTCCCCACCTGGTCGGGCTTGAGGCTGGGGACCTGCGAGCTTGCCCCGGCCTTCTGACACCTTGACCAGCACACAGCCATCATCCACATGGCGGCGAGCGGAAGATCGGGCACCCTCTCCCGGAGGATGGATGGACGCCGCACGATCAGCACAGATCGTGCGGGCGTCCTCGATCGTGTCGTCTCTTGACCGGGGGCCGGACGGGACTGCCCTCACTATGTGACGACCCGGTTGTCATTGGTGTCCAGGGAGGGCCGGCTGCAGGGGCGGGCGGGAGAGTGGTCCCCGGGCCCCGGCATCTGGTCAGTCGTGGGAGCAGACGCATGAGCCTTTCACGCGGACCTGGCATTCGGGGACAACCAGCTGGTCGTGCCCCCCCCCCC